CACATACACCTAAGTTGGCAGGTTCGAATCCAGCCCAGGCCCATCAAAAACAACAATGACGGCTGCAACCAAAAAATAGCCAGGCATTGTGGCGGGTGCCTGTGGTCCCAGCTATTTGGGAGGCTGAGGCAAGAGACTCGCTTGAGCCCAGGCATTGGAAGTTGCTGTGAGCTGTGATGCCACAGCACTCTACCAGGGGGATAGCTTGAGGCTCTGTCTCAAAAAAAAAAAAAAAATTTTTTTTTTGTTTCGGTGAATATAAACCTATTAACATAGACTTTCATGGTCACATGATCTCAATCTCTCAATTCTTTATTTCTCCACAATTTATTCATTTTCTCAATCTTGAATTTCCAATCTGGAGAATTTTTCAAGCACCATGTTTTTGAGGTCAAGGAGAGACGATATAGAATCAGAGTTACAAATTAGCTGCCAGCTCATTCACTGGGTTCCATCCTTATTATTTATTAATTATCTCTCCGTCAACAAGCCTAACTAAATTGATAACAAGGCTAGGGTTTAACTTATCATTGCCAGTATGTTAATATACCATATTCTTTCTTGGTATATTATTTGGCAAAACGTTGTACTTCTTTCTCTCAGAAAAAGGTCTCAAGGTGTTTGTATATGAGTGTAAACAAAATCACTCACTGATGTTCCCTAAGTAGTGGATATAACAGAAATGGGCACTCAGAACCAAACTGATGATTATTCCTGCTGAAGAAATATTCTGCCCAGCTCAGATGGGCATATTTAGAAAATGTTTATGGGAAAAATGAGAAAAATAAAAGATGGCTTTTTTTTCTCTAATGAAAATATTTCATTTACTATTAGTATTTGAATAGCCTGGTTGTTACCAGCTTTCACATAGAGGGCTTTAGTTTCTTTGTACTATTTTTTGTGTGTGTGTGTGGTTTTTTGGTTGTTTTAGACTGTGTCACCCTAAGTTTATTTAGTGCCATGAAGTCATAGCTCATAGCACCCTCAAACTCCTGGGCTCAAGTGATCCTCTGGCCTTGCTTTAGTCTCCCGACAGTGGCCTTGCTACAGGCGCCCACCACAACACCTGGCTAATTTTTATTTTTAGAAGAGATGGGGCCTCGTTCTTTATAGCTTCTTACTAAAACCAGATTGTCTGGGCAAGTTGCAAGAGGGCTAAAGACAAGGTTTAATTTTATAGACAAGATTTAGAGTTACCTTTAGTTCTTTGTTTCTGAGAGTGACCTACTCGTACCCCATGAAGGACTCTTCTGCTCTTTGCTGCAAAAAGATAACAGTTGTATTAAAACCATAAATAAAAGTATTTAAAGGTCCCCTAAGAGAGTGATCTGGAATAAACACAATAACGGTGTGAAATAGTACTAAGCAATGACTTGAATATGCTCAGGCAAAAATTATTCTCTATGATGAAACAGTTGAAAAAAACAAATCTTCCATGGATTTGCATGATTAGAGCTCTTGTTACACTGAAGAAATTTCAAATCTTTTAAAAAGCAAACATAGTATAAAAATACTTTTTAATTCTTTGAGTGTTTGATTTCTGTTGAAATAAAAAACTCTGTGAGGTTTTATTCTATTTTATAACTTCTTGCTATGATAAGTTTCTATTCAACCATAAATGAAATTTGTGAATTAGTCATATCCATCAAAATGAATAGTTCTTGAGAGCAATGAAAGTTGCATAATGTTATTGCAGTGAAAATAATCAAGTGTAAAAGTTTTTGTTTTGGTATAGTTTTATAGCTAGCTCAGGAATGTAAAAAGCATATTTTATTCCTGTATAAATTGCCATATACTAAAATTAGAATGAAATTTTATTGAAATGAAATGAAAGAGGCAATATCATAACCAAGACCACAGAAATACAAATGATTATAAGAGACTACTATGAACAATTACATGTGTATGTCAACAAATTGGAAAACCTAGAAGAAGTGAATAAATTCCTAGACACATGGAACCTGAATCACAAAGAAATATAAAAGCTGAAGAGACCAATAATAATAAGGAGTTAAATTAGAATGAAAATGTCCCTTTGAAGAATAGCCCAGGACCTGGTGGTTTCATAGATGAATTCTATCGAAAATTTAAAAGAACAACTAATACTAGGCCTTCTTAAAATTCTAAAAAATAAAAGAGGAGGAATATTCCCAAATTCTTTTTACAAGCCTGACATGACTCAATACCAAAGCCAGGCAAGGACATTGCAGAAAAAAAAATTTACAGGTCAATATACCTAATATATATACATGCAAAAATCCTCAACAAAATACTAGCAAACCAAATTCTATAATACATTCTAAGTGTCATCCATCATGATCATGTGGGATTTATTCCTGGGATGCAGGATGATTCAACATAACACAAATAATAAATGTAATACATCCCATTAACAGAATGAACACAAAAATCATATCTCATCTCATTAAATGAATAAAAAAATCATTTGACAAAATTCAACATTCTCTTATGATGAAAAATTTTCACCAAATTAGGTATAGAAGGACTCTATCCCAACATGATGTTAATTGAGAAGCCCACAGCTAACATAATACTCAATGGTGAAAAATAGAGCTTTCCTCTAAGATCCAATATAAGACAAAGATGATCACTCTTGCCACTTCTATTCAATATGCTTTTTTTTTTTTTTTGCCCAAGCTAGAATGCCATGCTCTTTTGTTACCCAAGCTAGAATGCCATGGATTCAGCAAGCTCATACCAACCACAAAATCCTCCTGGGCTTAAGCAATCCTCCTGCCTCACCCCGTAGCTGGGACTACAGGTGCCTGCCCCAACACCCAGCTAATTTTTCTATTTTAAGCAGAGATGCAGTCTCACTGTTGCTCAGGCTGGTCTCAAACTTCTGAGATCAAGGAATTCTCCCACCTCTGCTAGGATTATGGGTGTGAGCCACTGGACTCCACCCTATTCAATGTATTATTGGAAGTCCTTGTCAGAGCCATTAGTTAAGAGAAAGAAATAAAAAGCATCCAAATAAGAAAGGAAGAAGTGAAATTGTCACTGTTTGCCAATGACATGATCTTATATATTTTAGGGAAAAACCCTGCAGACTCCACCACAAAAACTATTGGAACAAATGAGTACTGTAAAGCTGTAAAATATAAAATTAGCACATAAGAGGTAGTAGTGTTTTTAGACACTAACAATGAATTATCCAAAAAAGAAATCAGGAGAACAGTCCCATTTACAATAGCTGCAAAAATAAAATAAAATACTCAAGAAGAAATTTCCAAGGAGTTAAAAGATGTGTACACTGCAAACTATAAATTGTGAATGTAAGAAATTATCAAATGACCAACAATACATGAAAAAATGTTCATCACTAATCATCAAGGAAATACCAACTAAAACCACAATGAGATACTACCTTGCCATTGTCAGAATGGCCATGACTAAAAAGCCAAAAAACAATAGGTGTGGTTGCAAAGAAAAACGAACATACTTACTGTTGGAGGGACTACACATTAGTATAATCTTTATGGAAAAGAATATGGAGATTCCTCAAAGAAATAAATGTAGATTTGCCATTTGATCCAGCAATCCCACGACTGGACATCAACTCAAAAAGAAATTATTTTATCAAAAAGACACCTATACTCAAATGTTTATCACAATATGATTCACAATTGAAAAGACATGAAATCAATCTAAGTGTCCATCAATTCATGAATGGATAATGAAAATGTGAAATACACACACACACCCTATGAAGTACTATTTAGCTATAAAAGGGAATGAAATAATGTCTTTTGCAGCAACTTAGATGGAAATAGAAATTGTTAACTAAGTGAAGTATCTCAGGAAAGGAAAAATAAAAACCACATGTACCCTCTAATAATGGGAAGCTAGTAGATGGACACACATGGATACAAAGAGATGTAAAGGGCATTGGAAACCAGGCAAGGGGGAGGGTAATAGGAAGTAAGGGATAAAAACTTATCAGGTACAGTTAACACTATCCTGGTGATAGGCATACTGAAAGTCCCAACTTAAGCCTTGTACAGAGTATCCATGTAACAAAAACATTTTTACCCTATTACTGTTTCCAGTTTTTAAAAATGTCAGTGAAAGAAATTAAAACAAATAAATGGAAAGCTATCTCACACTCATGGATTGGGAGAACTAGTATTTTTAAAATGCCCATATTACCCAAACTGATCTACAGATACAATGAAATCCCTGTCAAAATTCCAACATAATTTTTTATAAAAATAGAAAAAGTAATCCTGAAATTTATATGAAATCAGAAAAATACCTAAATAGCTAAGGGAATGATGAATAAAAAGAGCAAACGTGAAGGCATCACACTACCGGATTTCAAACTATTATATAAAGCTATAGTATCTGTAGATAGTATTTGGGGGAAGTTAATGTCTTATTAATATGTAGAAACTAACTCAGGCCTTCTCAGCTAAGTTTTAGTAGGTGGTATAAAGCACTCTTTGGAAAGTTTAAGTGGTAAGGCGAATATCCTTTTTTGTGAGAATAGAATGTTGCACTATTGACTTTTGTGATTTTGGCTCTACTAGGCACCTCAAGTATAATCAAGAATATATTTTTATAATAATTTTTGCACTTTTGCACAAGGAAAGTGTTTTCGAAGATGGAACTATATTAGTGTAAAATGTCAGAATTAATGTATAAATTATATTTATTAAAAATTTTGCATAGAAACTAGGTAGCCAGACAAAGTTAGTACTATAGAATCTACTCTATGATATGGATCATACATACATGTTTATGTTTGACAGACTTTTCTGATTCTTCTTTTTTTTTTCTTTCTGATTCTTATAAGGGGAAAATCCTAATATTATTGCTATTTACTTACATAAAATATGTGCTATAATACTCATGTCCCTTTGCACAAACATATTAAATAAATTATGAACAATGATTATTAGTATTCTTTAATATTTAAAATAATTGAAACAATATCTATACCTTCAAATTCGTGATATTTTCTTATGCTTCTTTTCTAGATGTACATTAAAGATGTCAGCTTTTACATGTGGGAAGTAGATATTGAAGGTTTTGTGGTTTACAGACAAGATCTTTAGAAGTGACACTCAAGGTGAGTAATAACTATAACCTAAAAAATAATTTATTTTATATTGTTAGGGTTGCCAGATTATAATTTGACTTGTTTAATTTGCTCATTTTTTTAATCACTGGCCCTAGGTGACCTCACAATCACAGTTACTCATTCAGACACAAATTTTAATGCCCTAATACCATCTTGAGGGAAATGTCAAATTTCATTAATCATTGGCAGTTGATTAAAAAATGATATATTTTTATGGAGGACTACAAACCAACTAACAGTAGAGAATAAACAAAATAGTTTCTATCAAACCTGTTAGTACAACTCAATCAGCAGAATTTAACTTGGGAAAAAATAAACAGAGAACTACTGTCATCCATGGTGCCATTTTCTTTAAATCTATTCGTTAATCAGTTCCTTTAATGATATTGAGAGCTTGTTTTTTGCTCACTCAAAAAAACTGTCATAATTTCACATACTTACAGTACTATTACTTCTGAATACCATGCCTCTTTTCATTATTTCCTGACTTCCTAGAGATTTCTCATGACCTAGCATATCCTTTCACTTCCCCTGTTCTGTTCCTGCTTCTCATGACTGCTTACATATTTATATGGCTAAGTAAATTTCTGACTACCTCTTGGTAAGCTTTCAAGTAAGATACTTTTTTTAGGTAGAAACCTGAAAAAAAAAAAAAAAGGATACTTTAAGTAATATTGCTTGCCAGATGTGGACAATAGAAGCCTGGAGAGTATGTGACCTATAAATGGAGCGCTCTTATTCAGCTCTAGATCCTTGCTAAGTGGGAATGAGAAGTCATAAAGTCAATTCCTGGGATTTTTTTTTGAAAGAAACGAGAAATACAGATTTGGAAAAAAAAAAATAACTTTATGTTTCAATATCAGCATAAAATTTTACCTTCTAAAAAAATCCACTTTTACCACTGCCTGAACCCAGTAAAAACAGTTTACAGCCTCGAGGGCAGGAATTTTTTCCCTTTGTTCTGTTTTTCTTTATTCTTTTAGAGTGCAAGCATTTACAGTCTATTTTTTCTCCTTAATTTATACTTAGCAGCTTAGTGATTTTCCTAGTTTTCTATGATGACTATTATTGTTAGAATGACTTCTTTTTAAAGGATAAGTGATATTACTTATTTCTAATTCATTTCTATAGTTATAGATGGTAAGTTGGTTACTTGGAGCAGCCATTTAATTGTTTTCTGAGTTATAATGATTAGATAATTATTTTTATAGCCCTTTCATCTCCACAGTTTAAACTGGATCCCATTGGAAAAGAAAAAAAATACATATATACCTTTTTTACAGGACAGAATCCCACTGTCACCCTGAGTAGAGTGCCATGCATCATAGCTCACAGCAACCTCAAACTCCTACGTTCAAGTAATCCTCCTGCCTTAGCCTCCTGGGTAGCTGGGACTGTAGGCACCCACAACAAAGCTGCTAGTTTTTCTATTTTTAGTAGAGACAGATTCTTGCTCTTGCTCTTGCTCATGCTGCTCCAGAACTACTAAGCTCAAGCAATTCACCAGCCTCAGCCTCCCAGAGTGCTCGGATTACATAAGCTACAGAGCCTGGCATTACATACCTTTTTGTATGTGTTTCTGAGACAGGGTATCATTGTGTTCCTGGGTTAGGATTGAAATTCTGAGCTCAAAGGGTCCTCTGCCCTCAGACTGCCCTCAATAGCTAGGACTACTGTGTGCTCTGGTGCTTTCTGGTTCTTTTTTTTGTTTTTGTTTTTGTTTTAATGAACCTTTTGCATACAGAGAAAGTAGTTAATCATACTCTTTAGTTCCTGATACCACTGTCATCACTGGTTCATGCAAAACACTAATTATTTTATTTATATATTTACCCTTCCATTCTCCTAACCTTGACCCATAGCAACTATTCTAATATGATATTCTAAAATAATATCTATTGTACTGTTCTCTTTTGTTTTTATGAGTATTATTTTATATGCATGTATATTAAAATTTTTACATGGAAAATTTCAAATAAATATTTTTAAAAATACAGAATAGTATTATGAGCCACCATATGTGGATCTCTCAGCTTCCACAGTTCTCATCTCGTAGCTGAATTTGTATTACCTATTTCTCTGCCCCCCCCCCACTATTAATGACACAAAATTCAAATACAACTAAGTGGTGTTGTGCTATTTATTTCATTCCGTTTCTTACTTACTATTTTATTTTGGATAACCTTATTATGTTTTAAGCTTTATTTATGTTGTCATGTTTATGTTGCTTTTAACTGCTAAATGATACACTATGGCAGATAGCTGCCATATTTTAACTATACATTTTCCCCAATGATGGTGATAGTCATCTTTGTCTCTATACTATTCCAGTTGCAAGCTTATTCTCTGTGTGTCTGACCACCCGTGAACCTGAGCATAACAACCCAGATTGCTTTCAATTCCCTTTCACCACAAGCAACACCATGTGATGAACATCCTCATATTTGCTGTATTGTGGAATATGATAATGATTTCTTTGGATACATACCCAGGACAGAATTGCTAGCAGATAGCACATATGTTTACCTTTCCTGTCCTTATGCCTAAATCTCTTCTTTCCTGTATGTTTGGCTGGTTCCTCCGGAGCTATGTTATAGAGTAGTAGCCACAGTGAGGCTTCTTCATCTTATGTCCAGTCATAAAGGAGATACATGTAAAGTTTCTCAAGTAAGCATAATACTTATGGAAGGTTTTTAATACATAACTTTTACCAACTTAAGATAGGTTCTTCTATTTTTAGTTTTCTAGACAGTCTTGTAAGTAGCCATTGAGCCCAATCAAATGCTTTTTATGATATATATTAAACTAATGATATGATGTTTATTATTGTGAATTATATAGATAGAATTTTGAATGTTAAACCATCCATGTATTCCTATTTTACATCATGATGTATTATTTTATCATTATGCATTATTGTTACTGCACTATTGTATTTAATTACCAAATTTTTTATTGGGGATTTTGGAATCTAAATTCTTAAGTGAAATATATCATTATCATAATATAATTTTCTTCATTTTCCTTCTGTGGTTTTATAATTAAAAGTGCATTAATCTTAGGTGGCTCCTGTGGCTCAGTGAGTAGGGTGCTGGCCCCATATACCGAGGGTGGCGGGTTCAAACCCAGCCCCCGCCAAACTGTAACAACAACAACAACAACAACAAAAAAGTAGCCGGGAGTTGTGGCAGGCACCTATAGTCCCAGCTACTTGGGAGGCTGAGGCAACAGAATCACCTAAGCCTGAGAGCTGGAGGTTGCTGAGTTTTGATGCCACGGTACTCTACCCAGGGTGACAAAGTGAGACTCTGTCTCTTTAAAAAAAAAAGGTACATCAACCTTATGAAATCAGATGGGCTGCTGTTTCTCTTTTTCTATTTTCTCTAATACTTTTATAAGATAGGAATTTACTATTTCTTTACTGTGTGTTAAAATTTGTATGTAAAGCTATGAGGATCTGGGGATTTTTGTGAGGGCATGTATTTGACAACTATGTATACCTTTAATGTTTGTGGCCCTGCGTGGCTATTGATGGCAGCTCATGTTCTCCCCACCTGCAGATATAGCCAATACCCAGTTTCCTTCAAATCAGGAAATACCTGGGTAATCCCACATTCTACTGAGCCATGTAATATTTATTCCTCTTTTGGACTAATGAGATTTAGTGACTAACCCTGGCTACTGGAATATGATATGCCTAATCTTGCTTCCTTTAAACTCTCACTGCCACATACCTAAATTAATCCTGTGCTGCAACAATATCCTCCTTTTCTATAACTAGAAACTTAGGTTAATAATAACCTTAACTGACTTCTTGATAGCTCGTAAAACTAATGCCTACTTCTGATTACATGTGCCAAGGTAATGAATAAATAAAACACTGTGCTCAGTAAGATTAGTTTTGGAGGTAAAATTAGCAATGATCAGATCTAATGTTCTCTACAACATGTATCAAATTGTAGTTATCGGCTCCGCGGCTAAGGCGCCAGCCACATACACCTAAGGTGGCGGGTTCGAATCCCCATCCCGGGCCCACCAAACAACAATGATGGCTGCAACCAAAAAATGGCCAGGCGTTGTGGCGGGCGCCTGTAGTCCCAGCTACTTGGGAGGCTGAGGCAGGAGACTCGCTTGAGCCCAGGAGTTGGAGGTTGCTGTGAGCTGTAATGCCATGGCACTCTACCCAGGGGGATAGCTTAAGGCTCTGTTTCAAAAAAAAAAAAAAAAAAATTGTAGTTATCTAGGAAATTTTCACCTTATCTTCAGAGTTTAAACCTGTTAGTAACCATGTAATATCAGAATAGAAATTAAAAGTGTTCCCACTTATAAAAAGAATAAAGATTATAAGCTCATGGAAGTTCATAGACACACTAACAAAATAAGTTAAATAGTCAATAAACATATTACATTTATAAAGGTTCTTATACATTTTAACATTCCCTTGTCTCCTTCACCTTCTGCCCAATCATGTTGCTGTTACTTATTTTAAATTCTAAACTCTTGTGCTCATCTTTTCTTTTTCTTTACGGTTTGCTATTTTAAAAGACAAAATTTTGCCAAGATATTTTATGAGCATTACTTCATTTCTCTTCTCATCATAGTTCTTTTAAGTATTTTCTGTATTGGTTTCTTTCTGTTCAAGTGTTTCATCAAAACTGTCTTTTGGAGCCATGTATACTTGAAAATATATATTATCATATCCTCATATTTGAATGATTGTATTGGTGCATATAAAATCTAGGTTTTAAGATTTTTCCTTCAGTACTTTGAAAATACTTGATCTTTTTTTCCCCATGTATCTCCTTTATTTTCTCAAATACTTTGTATTTTTATTTTTTTTCTCTGATTCTCCTGCTATTGAGATGTTTAACAGTGCCAGTACCTTAGCCTTTCTTTTCTTTTTTTGTGTTCTTAACTTTTCTTTAGAATTAAAGGTATACTCAAACAAGTCTTCAAATTTGCTGATTTATTCCTCATTTTAATTCCAT